CACAGGGGCACCCACCTTATAAAGAGCAACCGCCAACTGGAAAAATATCACTTATCCTTGAGAATCACGTGCAAATATGTTGAGGGATTATTTCGTCAAAAAAATCACTTTGATGCAAAGCAGACTTTATTATACGGTAACAATATAATGTATTTGACCAGGACAGAATGACTGAGTCTCAAGGATTGGATTTCCAGAAGGTTCCTGCCGTAGGATGTTTGGCCAAGGAGTTTTATTGTTTCTAATGTCGTGGGGAAGCCAAAGTTCCCCGAGGACACCCACGCGTCATGAATCCGCTGGCTGTACCCTCACCTCGTGCTCACAATCCAGGTTTGGGAGTTACTATAATTAGTAGAATTAAACAATAACCTCGTAACCAAGTTGAGTTTTTATTACATTTAGCAATATCCTTACGTCAGGTTTATATCCATGTGTATATTTAATCCTACCAAGGTATATTCACAAGTACAATATAGGAATACTGTATGTGCAATATGTGCGGTTCCCTGTACCATATGGTTAAACATCTATTAATATGACAAATGAAGTGGTAATACTGCGTTGGCAGTGATGCACAGGTAACAACTAAACTCTCCCTCTCTGACCGATGTGCTGTAAAGAACGTCGCCTACTATACGCCTCTTACATTGAGGGCAGTGCTATCGATGAACGTGTGGAGTGTTTTTGTTCTCCGTGAAGCTGACTGCACGGAGAACAGCTGATGGCAGCTGCCCTGCGGACTGCGCTGGGAACATTCACACTGGCCGGGGAACTCGAGCGTGCAGGTTGTTGTGCAAGTGCATACCTTGGCTCGGACGTGAAGAAATCGCTGACACATTAATTGGCAAAGCCGCCAATTTTTTTAAAGCATTCAACTAAATGCATGCTTGTACATTTGCATATTTTTATTTTGCAAAATGTATGTCGAGGTAGGGGTCATTCATGAGAAGCTACTAGCTCAATGCGTGTTGAGCCGTTTCGTCAAGAGGTTTCGACTTAGCCACATGCTTTCTGCATAAAAAAACCTACTTAGCATATACATAGCTATACATATCAATGTACATAATTACCGTAATTCATTTAACAATTTAGTTTAAATGTGAGATTTTTTATTTTGCCAATGCCATTTTAGCAAAAACAGCGGCCCTACCTTGGGCTCCAAGTGCAACATTTTGTTCGGATTTTGCCACAAGACGGCGCACGGACCACGTGATCAACAGCGGAGCTGTTATCCATATTTGGTCCTCTGTGGGTGCAAACACGAAATACATTTATAAAATATCTCAGCTGTGCCACCCGTTTCGTAAGCGAAAGCCACAATTGACTGTTGTCCCCGTATTTCGGCCTCAGTCTTCAACGTCTGCTTGTTTGCACTCTCAAAGGACGTGAGCTTTTGCAACTGCTGATGGCGTAATACGTCTGCCACCTAACGGCAACATCTGGAACACGATTGCTCGCAGGCACTCGGGGTCTTTGGCTGACCCAGCTGGCGATCCAGCTCTACTCTTGCAAATGAGACTAATGATGGTCTCTGGAGTTTTAGCTTGGTTTAAAAATAAACTTGAAACGTCAACTTGCTCCATTCACTCCGCAACCTTTTTTTGTACCAAAAGCGCACTCGCACCTGATGCAGAATGTTAAGTCTCTAAAACCAGAAAAACTTGACTGAAAATATTTTTCTTAGGCTATTCAGATTTGAAAACTATTACTGAGCAGTCATTGGTTAATATTTAATATGACATACTATGCCTTGTAAAAATATTATTCTGTGCCTTCCCATACCGATTTCTTCACTTATTAGTCTATGTTTAATCTTTGATTTTGTTTTCCCTCCAATTTTTGTTAATCTTCGAGGGTTTTCTGTATTTGCACCCTTGTTTGCATGTACCCTGTATTTCACCAGATTTCTGTAAAAATAGATACAGACGACTCAACGGTCACTCACGTGGTCCTACCTTGCTCAACCGTTCACATTTATTTCACTGCACGACCCAAACAAATTGTAGGTTTTGTACCTCGGTAAAAAGAGCTTTTCCAGTCAATTCCGCCATCCACCGGTAAATAATAATATTATTATATTCAGAGCGGCATCTGGCAGGGCCACGGGGGCCGGGTGTCGCCCCCCTTCTACCTGACTCCACCCAGCCTCGACGCAGAACCCCTCACGAGCTTTATAGCAGCGGGCCCCTGGCTCCACACTCTCCGTGAGGAGACAAGAAAACCAAGAGAAGGCGGGGATCCCGACGATTCACCCCAGACTCTAGGATCTGAGGTCTCCTGCCTGACTCGAGGGGATGCCTGATGCGGCGATGGATCGGTAGGAATCCCTGTGACGGACGGCAGCACTGACTGGAATTGTGTTGTTTTTAACAGGAGTACAACACCAAATATATTTCATCACAATTCCACGGCCCACCGGTCTTCTTATTATAAACATATCAGCACCATGTGCCACAGCTGGCATGCCGGAGGAAGTGCGGGGCTTCCCCATATGGCCACATTGGAGGCTCGAGCCCACGAGATTGCAACGGCCCAGCGCCCTAAGGTTGTCGGGGGGCTGCTTCTCTGTGCCCCTGTGGCAACGCTCGTCACACTTCCTCAGCCACACGAGCGGCCGCACCTTCAAGGCTCGCTTGCCCCTAAAAGCTCTGCCGATTAAGACCGTTCCGTAGACCGCCACATGGCCGTTCTCAACGTGAAGCGTCCTCTGCTTCTCGGGAGCAAATTGTGCCCAGCACTAAGTCAGCAGAAGCAACTCCTCGTTGTCCACAGAGTCAAAATTGTCGACGCTGAAGGGGCCGAAGCGATCGAGAAGGGAGGTGAACACCTCGGGGCGCAGCTGCCGCTATCCGTCTTCGGACCCCGCCAGGCGGGTCGCCCTCAAGGGCCAAGTCAGCCGACTCAGCGGCTCCAGGCCTCCTCCGCACAATACATGCAATTTGGGGGACCCTTGTCGGTTCATCGCAGCTACTGCTGTGATGTTGTCGCAGTGGGCCAGGACTGACCTGCAAATCAACTGAGCTTACACAGCGCTAGATGCACAGCTCGCAGTTCGGCCGGGTTGATGCTGCCCTTGGCAAGGGTTGACCATCTCCCCTGCACTGTTCTCCATTGGAGATGCGCACCCCAGCTCCGTGAGCTGGCGTGCATCTGCAAGACGACGTCTGGAAGGTGGGGGGGCGGGGGAAGGTCTCCCAATAGTAGTCCCAACTGGAGGCTCTGCAGATCGGTCCACTAGGCCAGGTGCTGAATGGCCTGGGGCCGTGACGCAGGTCCCAGCGGCGTAGCAGAGTCCATTGCAGAGGTCTCATACGTAGCCTCGCCCAGGGAATGACCTCCGGTGGTTGATGCCGTATGCCCCAGCAGAACCGTAATTTCCCTTGCCTGGGGAGCTGAATTGACTGCGAGAAAACGGGCAACTCAAGCTATCGGGAGCGCATTTCCATCCAGAAGCTGCCATCACCTGCCGGTCCGTCCAAATATTGGCATCGCCCAGATGGTAAAGCCGCTGGGTCAGCGACAACAAAACATCGGCTGGTTGATAACCCAGCGGTACATCTCCAATAGTGAGGTGATTGTGGCTGTAATCCTCTGAAGCTTGTTTGTCGAAGGCACCCTCAGAGGTCATCGAGATTGGGGTAGAAGTGAATCCCCCCTCTCCCTGATGGCCACGATGAGGACTGAAACGACTTTGGTGAACACTCTTGGCGACTCTGAAAAGCCGAGGGGAATGGCCTGATACGCTCCGGAACAAAATGGCGCAGGTGCCGCCAATATTGTGGGTATATGACGATGTGCAGTTACGGGTCCTGTAAGTCTATCGAGACGAGCCAATTGGTTGGCTGCGGTGCTCGCCTGATGGACCGGAGGGACTCCACCTTTCAATTCTGTACGCAAGGTTCAGTTTTCTCAGATAGGGAATCTCCTGTATCCGCCAGAGTGTTTTTCGAGCGTGAAGAATCAGGAGCATAACCCGGTACCTCGCTTGTGGAGTGCCACAGCTTGGCGGGTCAGCTCCTGCTCCTGCTGGGCCCGATGAAATGGAGGAGGTAGCCCCGCTCAACGAACCTCAACACCCTGCCGTCCGAAGCGGAACGCCGCCAGGCGCGCAGGAACGCCGACATGCGGCCCCCGACGCCCAACGGAGGTGGCCCCTCCGCTCTCCGGGGCCCTGCCATTCCACCTGCTCTTGTGCTTAGAGAGGCCGCATCTGGTCCCGTAGATAGGTCGGAAGAACGTATCGCTGTAACTGGGCCTCGCGGCCGCGGCATTCGGAGAACGGAAGAGTGCCGCAAGTCAGAGTAGGTGTCCACGTGGTGCCCCGGCCCCAAGTAGGTAACACACCTGGCGTGGGGGTCAAGGCGTTTAAGCTCCAGGCCGCATCGACAGCCTCTGAGGGTGCGTTGAGGTGCCATTATGCGACCCGGCTCATAGGATGGAGTTAGGAAAGGGAGAAACTGAAACTTGTGCTCCATCAAACCTTTTAGTTTTCCCAGCGACTGGTGGCACTCGTCTACGCTGCTGCCAGTCACGTGAGGGGTTCTATGTAGAGGGTGGGTTAAGTCAGGTGGCGGGGTCAGAGATCCCAAGAGCCTTCTCTGCACACGTCCCATGACCCTGCGGGATTTGGCCCACACGTGTAAAATAAGATGACCGGTCGATGGCGAAACTGTCATGGAAAAACTTCCTTCCGAGCCTTGGCACCGTTAACAAACCTGACTTTGCCGTCGGCGCCAGCGATAGGTGTGTGACAAAAGCGCTGATGGAAAGGGCGTTTCTGTATCGAAAGGTGACGCACACACCAGGAAAGGAAATAAGTACACCGGCTGTCCGTAATTTTAGTGCCGCGCTCTCAAAAAAAACATTCGATCGTAGCTCAATCTCTATACACGTTACAGCGGTACGATACTAAAACTTTACACGTCCATAAAATCATCGCTGCTGAAAAGGTCAGAGACGGTGGGAGGGGGCGGAGGGGAACGTCCGACCGAGCCGCGCGCTTACAAATAGTGCTCGTCGCAGCGTGGGAAGGGGGCGGCCGCCTCGTCGCGCCCCCCTCCGCCCAGCGACGCTTTGCGGACGAGGAACGCGTCGGGCTGGGCGCGCGCGGGGCTCCCCGCGGCCTCGCCGGGGCCCCGTCCCGCCGCCCCCTCACCGTGGACGGCGGCGACGGCGCCGAGGTTCGCCGGGGCGCGCGGGCGCTCGCCGTGCGCGGGGGGAGGGAAGGCGGCGCGGGGCGCGGGCGGCTCCGTCGAGCGCGCGGGGCCCCCGGGAGCGGCGGCGGCGGGCAGAGCAGGGGGGCACCGCGGAGCGCCCGAGGGACGCGGCGCGTGGGGGGGCGGCGGCTGGCGGCCCGGAGCAGGAGGAGGAGCGGGAGGGCACGAGGCGAGGGGGCACAGCAGAGCGGCTGGGCTCGAGGCGCTGGGGATGCCGCGGCAAAGCGCGCCCTGCTGGGGTCGTGCGCAGAGGAGGAGTGGGGCGGGGGCGACAGGAGGCACGAAATTAAACGAACGGGCACTTTGTTTTTAAATATCTAAAACGTATTTCAGTTTTGTAATCCTGCGGAATGCGCTGATCACCTTGTTTTGGTACGGTTATAACACTGTGGTGGTGGTGGTCTTGGTTTCAGACAGTCGTGGTAGTTGATGTGATGCGGCAGCAATGGTAACGATTTGGTTGTGGAGGTTGTGCTCATATGGTTCATGGTGAAGTTGGTGGTTGAGATGGTAGCGAGGATGGTGCAGGGAGCAGCAGCGTAGCGGTTAGTGCTGGGCCTCCCCCGGTCGACTCAGCCTAAAATGATTTTCTGGCGTGATGTGTAAATCACCACTGGGAAGACAAAGGCGGCCGAGCGTGTTGCTGGCCACCGCCTCCTCGTACTGGCCTGTTTAGGGGCTTGCCAACAGGACTTGCCCCAACAGTCTGTGAAGGCTGCACGAGATTCTTTGTGAGGTTTGTGCCACGAGGGTGGGGGGGGGGGTCCCATGTTGGCTAGCCAGGTATTGCATTGGCATTCTCTGCCACAATGCTAATAAAAGCAATCTATTCATAAGCAATCTATTGTAATGGAATGTGGAACATTTATTTTATACGCACAGCATTAATATCAATTATGCAGACCGTTTCATATTTTTTTTTACTTTCATTCGGAAATCTTTACCTGCACCGTGCGATGCAAAAGGAGGGTCACCAGGGCACGATGCACCAGCCACGGTCAACCAATGGACATCCTCCGTCATTTCACACGCACGCAGTACAGTTACGGAGCAAATGCGGAGTGCTGTCCTGGTACTGTTTATAATTATTTGGTATTTGCCTTAATGGCTCAAGCAGTTCCATTCCTAATGAGAATTTACCAGTGCTGACGTGTGCACATGGATAGGGTACAAATTAAATTCACACCCCAATTTACTGTGACTGCTCCATTCTAAAGTTAACACACAATTCATGCAATTACGTATGCACACATATAGTGTTTGACAATTACTTTACATTCATGCCAATTGTTCCCCACTGTAACCCATCGTTTCTTTGCTAACACTTATCCGAGTATTTTAATAGATTACTGTGCTGGGAATATTTTGACTCTGCCAATTCCTTAAAAATCCAAACGACGCCCTCTGGAACCTAAACTCTCCGCTCGCTGCACTGTGCCTGCTCTTTATAGTCGGTTCGCTAAACAACAGCCACTAAACCGGTAACCGTTTTTCTAAATCTTGTCCTTCACAGATGGGATCAGATCACGAATTTTATGTACTGTGTTAAATCGGACCTGGATCTTGTGAGTGTTCATGATTTTGGAAAACATTTCCAAAATCCAAATTCATGAACAAACACAAGATCCAGGTCCGATTTAACAGTACGTAAAATTCGTGATCAGATCCCATCTGTGAAGGACAGATTCCTGACATGCAATATCCCGGCGTCTCCAAACTAAGCTGTGCCTGCGGCAGCAGTTACATTGGGGAAACTAAGCGACATGTCTCGGACCGTGTTCGTGAACACGAGGCAGATTTTAAACACAGCAGGACCAATACTTCTGCCGTGGCTGATCATTGTTTTAATGTGGCGGGCTCATACGTAATTGATTTCTCTAAGACGAAGGTACTTTGGAAGCTCACTGGCTACCAACAAAAATTCGTTCAGGAAGCCATCCAGATATATAGACACAGACACAATTTTAACCGAGAAGATGGGTACAAACTGAGCAATCATTGGAAGGACGTTATCAACCAGTTTAAGTCATAATTGGCCATGATGTTCCCATCCTACCACCTTAGTTGTGCTTTACGCCCATTTCAAACTTGCACTTTCACAGCCACTTTGCACATCGACCACTCGGTTGCGGCTCTGCGATCTCCCACTAACTTGCTAATCTCCCATTAACATGCTAATTTTGACCTGGCAGCCCTTTGATTGGTGGAAAACGAACCACCGCTGCCCTCGCTGTCCACCACTTACATTATCATTGGCTGCTGACATTTGGGCTACGCCCATTTCAAACCCTTATAAACAGTTTGCCTTGGACGCTAACCCCCTTTTCCTGAAGACGACCGTTTGCGTTGCGATCCAAACGTCGTAGTTTTTTGTTGTTATTTTTTTATTATTTTCTCTGAACATATCTACGTGACTTTACCGAAACACCCAAGAATAACAAGAATAACAACAATAACAACAACGCGTTCCAAATCAACAGTTGTAAAACTGGCGATCCCAGAGGAATCAATTCCAGAGATACGAATTTAAAAGTTTCGATTTACGATTGTTTAACTCGATAATCGCTTCAAATTCTTAGAATCCCAATGACACAATCGTTTTTTTAATTAGTTACTAAATATTGCTAATTTATTTAACTAACATTAATTAGGTCAACACGACCCGACATTATGTAGTTGAGGAAGAGTTGATATAAGTGAGGTATTAAAATGGCTCTTGTTTTGTAAATGATTATTGGTTACGTTCAATACAAATGCTATCGGTGTAAATTAGTGTTCATTGGTTATTTTGTGTGAATTGTGATTATCTGTTATATTCATACTTTTATTGTGTTTTCTCAAGATATTGATATGTAGGTACCCCGGAGTATTTGATTCACATTCAGGAACCACAACACAATCAACATAATCAGCATAATATACACAATCAACATAATCAACATAATCTACATAATCTACGCATGTTGAACTTCTTTAACAATCGTACGTAGCCAACTACGAATTGGGAAGGACAACAAACTAAGCATAGTCTGAACCTTCAGTGAGAGTTTATTCACTTTCCAAACATAGTTCGTTGTACCACTTAAATATTGAATTGTTTGTGCTGCATTAACCCAACAATAAAGTAGATTACACAGCAACAGAGAGGGTCTGTTGTATGTGATAATGGGCTTTTTGGGAGGTGGGTTTGGAGTAGGAATCGTTTGAATCAATTCCATGATCAAGATTCTGTTCTAATCGACTTTAAACATCTTGGGAGTTTTCCATCCCCAGCTGCTGCTGCTGCACACGCCTGTCGTGGTGGTGGCGAGATGTAGATTTATCGCCCTCGTGTGGCTGATGAGCGCATCACCCCTCAACCCATCTCTCCGACACCAAAGACAAAGATCCATCGCATTGATTCCAACAGATTAACACGTTGGGTGGTGGCGGGTTTAACGACACATTTATATATTTACGAGATGTAACCCAAAAAACCTGTATTATGGATCCCAGCAGAGTGTTGGGGCAAGTGGTAGCAGCACCGATGAAGAAGGCTGGCACTGTGGCACACGAGAGGGTGGCGGTGGCCAGGCACGCGCCTTTGTCTCCCCCCAGTGGCAATGCTTACACATTGCAGCAGGTCCTCACTTGAGGCTGAGTCGACCTAGGTGAGGCCCAGGACTGGTTCAGAGACAATCGTCACTGGTGTCGGCCGTGAGCGGTAACCACGGCGCCACCGCTCCCCACGCACCGGGACCTTTGACGTGCAGCGAGAGGTTGCCACCGTCCCAGGTTCCATCAGGACAGTCCGGGAATTGGCGTCTCTCTGTATTCGGGTGTCAAGAATTGATTTGTAGCGAGGATCTGCAAGCGGTATTGTGTTTAGCTCTCTAATGACAACGTCTTCTCACGATACGGTCCATCGCTTGGGTTACGTGGGCACAATCGCACTACTGCAGCTTGTCTTTGATTTTCCATTCGTGCGGGAGATGTGCGCATCGAGGAGGAATGTTAACGCCAGGAGGGGCTGCGATGTCTGGGCCTCGATCGTTCTGGACGTTTCGTCTCCAGTGGAAAGTGGCAACCAGAGCTGCCCGCTCTTGGCAGTGGTGCCAACTTAGCCATTGCCGCGAGATCCAGAGACAACTTTTTAGATTTCCCTCGCGACGAAATTCAGTCAGGGCGACTACTTTCTAGGATGATGGCGTCATTCCCATTTAGGAGCGATTCCAAGTGTGTATTACAGATCCAGGATTAAGTTATTACGCGTAAATCGTCGAGTCATATGCGCGAGGGCTCTCGTTCGCGGCCACCTTCTGCCTTGAGGCGTTGGCGACACGGAGTGGCCTGCAGAACTCGGCTTGTGCGGCACAATTAACCACAAACAAAACTTCCACGCATTCGTCAATGGCACTGCGTGTGGCCTTAAAAGGGAAACATATACAATACATAATCGATGACGTTTCGGGCAATGGCCCTTCTTTGTAGCACTTTTATAGCACAGAGATAGAGAGGCCACAGAGATGGAGTTGGTAACAGGACATGGAGACTGCACTGAACGCCATGGGGCCTGCTGAGAATGACTATAATAAAATGTTTTCTGATCACCGGTTTTTAAATCGACATATGAAGAGTTACACGAATAGTAGCATTTGGGTAGAAAACATATAACATAGGCCACGTTTCAGGCGATTGTTTTTGACTAATCAGGTCAGGCAGACACTGAGCTGCGTAGCTCTTCTTGAGAAGCGACCTGGCCACAATGACAGCTCAAGGAAGCGGCTTGGCACGTGGACATTGATGACAGTGGCAGTCAAATACTCTCAGCGCACGTTTTCGAATTGTGGGTGTCGTGTAGGTGCAGCGTGTGTGTGGCGTGGTTACAGCGTGTGTGTAGTGTAGGTGCAGCGTGGTTACAGCGTGTGTTCAGCGTGTGTGCCGTGTGTGTTCAGCGTGTGTGCTGTGTGTGTTCAGCGTGTGTGCCGTGTGTGTTCAGCGTGTGTGCTGTGTGTGTTCAGCGTGTGTGCCGTGTGTGTTCAGCGTGTGTGTGGCGTGGGTGCTACCGGGGTGGCGGTGTTGGGCATCCAGCAGCGGTCCGAGTGCCCGAACCTCCGGCAGTCCGAGGTGCAGCGCGACGTCGCCATCGTCATCCCGTCGGCAAGCGCTGCACGTGGAGCGTGTGTGTGTGTGCAGATGTGTGTGTGTATGTACGTGGGGGTGTGTGTGCAGAGGTGTGCGTGTGTGTGTGCGCATGTGTATGTGTGCGTGTTTATTAAGTGTGTGTGCGAGTGTGTAAGGGGTGTGGATGTGTTTGCATGAATGTGTGTTCACGTGTAAAGGGAAAGAGAAAAACAATTCAGGCCATCTGAGCATCGGAATGGAGTCCAAGTGATGCATTTGCCAGGCCACCACATTCGCGAGAAGATTGGTCAACAAACAAATTAAAACACAATATTGTGCTGCAGCATACCGTGATGCATATCGGGGATGCATACACAAATCCGAGCTTCAATTAACATTTAAATGTATTCATAAGTGAGCAATATTGAAATCACTGTCACACCTCCACATCGAAATCAGCTCAAGATTTCCCTACGTCACGAGACGCACGCCGCCCCGCCCACTGTGAGAACAGACGCCGCTCCTCCTCCTCCTCCTGCAGCAGCAGCAGCGGCGGCGAGGCCCTCATGCTCATGCAGCCTCTTCCTCCTCCCGTTCCTCATCTCTCCTGACCCTTGCCGCCCGTCTGTCTGCTCCACTTCCGCTCATTCCCCATTCTTTATTTACTCGCTTCCCTGTTCCTTTAATACAAATGTCTACAGGGCATCTGTGAAAAAGAGCTTCATAGCTCATCGGATTTCTCCAGGATAAACATTCTGATTCTGTATTTTTGTTCACGCATTCTATTCTGGACTCCCCTTCCCACAGTGTGCCATGGTTAAAACAAGCTGCTCGTAATAAAAAAAAAATCTTGATTTGGTGCATAACACATTTTAATCGTGATACAAAGTTCCGACGCTGGAGTGGATAACGACGAGTTGACGGCGAGACGAGAGAGCGAGAACACGTGAAGAGAAAACACCGCTTAAACAGATGTACCATGGGTAACAGCCATTTCTCATCTGTAACAAAGTTAGGCCATTTGGGATGCCAGAAAATTGCCAGAATATATATTTACGAAATTAGGCTATAACATTAACTAGATAAAAGTAAAACTTTTCAAACAAAATGCCGTAATTACACTGAAAAATTTATTAATTAAATGAGACAGATGAAGGTTTTGTTCAATTCTCCATGAAGTTGCAATAAATGTGTGCGCAACCGAGCAGCATCTACAAAAAACAAGGTTTAAAGAAGAATGTAAATAATAGTTTGAACTTGTAACGTGACGCGGAACAGGGTACGCTCATCGCTCGCGCAGACAGAGAACGGCTCGGAGGCCACGTGGTGAGCCAACTGTCCAAGCTCTGCGGTCCTCTAGACATTACAGAACAGGTAGCCAGGGGGTCGGTGTCGGTGTCAGTGTCTGCACCACATCGCTGAACCTGACAAGATAACACCTTTGGAAACGTCTGTCCTGGTTCGCACGCCGTCTGTCCTGGTTCGCACACAAGGACTGAATCAGGGAAGGCGAGGTATAGTGACAGTAGTAGCAATACGAATGTCGACTTGTAACGCTTCGCTGCCATCGCAGAGTGCTCACTCGCTCGCTCGCCTAGAGAGACGACGACGACTCGGGGGCACAAAGAGGCGGCAGCAGCCACGCGCTGAGCCGGTCGCAATTGCCGAAGCTCTGCGGTTCTCTATATATTAAGGTGTTAGCTGCCAATTGATGGGTGTTCACATGTGGGAGGAAACTCACGGACCCGGAAAAAAACCCACCTGTGCAAGGGGGCAACACTATATGTATGTTGTATGTAGTATGTGTGTTGTATGTAGTATGTATGTTGTAGGTAGTATGTGTGTTATATGTAGTATGTGTGTTGTATGTAGTATGTGTGTTGTATGTGTGTTGTATGTAGTATGTATGTTGTATGAATGTAGTATGTATATTGTATGTCGTATGTATGTAGTATGTATGTTGAACTTCTTTCGCACTGAACGTAGCCAACCGTGCTAACCGAAGGTATGGGGGAAGGACAAGAAACTAGACACGCTCCTCAGCGCCAACGGGAAGGGAGTTGTAACAAGATCTGTGCGGTGATCCACTAACCCTCGCTGCTGCCTTCACACTGCTGGGTGGCAGGCAGCAGCGACGTGCAGCAGCGTAGCCGCCGCCGCCGCCTGCCACGACTTGCTCCACATTAGGGCACCGGAGAATGTACCTGGCTGTGTTGTACAGATTTTTGTTGGGCCAACCTTTTCATTTAAAAAAGTCTTACTCCTAATTTCCTGGATCAGGTTTGACGAACAGAAGCGAATACGTTTCGATCCTATCACATCTGTGTTCACAGCTGCAGATGCATTTTGACGTTGTGTAAAATCCAATTATATTGCATTTCACAAACTATATTTTTTTCGTGTGAAGAAAATTAGAAACCATTTAGTTTCCCGTACGTGCAAACATCAAGAGACTATGACATTAATTAGAGTAAATAACAATACTATTATAGAAACTTCCAGAGCAGCGCTGTGAATGCCGATGTTAGTTAAGATTACATTAATATTCCGAGCTAATTCACTATTGTAGAAGTGTTTTTTTATGCAAATGCATATTAATTAAACATTCAACTATTAAAGCATAACACTGTAATATTTGCATTCGGAGAAGTGTGATTTCAAACTGAACAATGTTGTATTATTTTAAGCAATAATTGCCAGTCCTTTTGACATCTATTAATCCACGTAACTACTTCAACCTGGACATGTATTTTATTAATATTATATTATTTTAAATGGTATCATGGATGCATATACATCATGTATAGTTTAGTGCGTGCGTGTGGACAAGACACCAACAAAAATGTGGAGTGAGACCTCAAGGCGAGTGGGTGCCTCTCTCAAGTATGTTTCACAGACAACTGCTCCCCCCCCACCCCTCTTTGCAATTTTTCTAAATTAAATCGCTTGGAGTGAATTTGAAGAGCAGTGCTGAGACAATGATCGCGATCTATACACAGATCAACTCGCTCACATATGCAGCCATTATCACCACTTTAAATGATTTCAACTCCACATTCCCCAGAATAGCAAAGGATCCGTTCGTCAATGTAATCACGATTCAATAATCGAGAGCAACATAGCAGGCGCTGAGTGTCTACACTGCACGCCCGCAATTAATTTGTGGAGCATCACGCCAATGTTGTGAGCCTCCCTCCCTCTCTCCCCCTGTGCGTCAACGTTGCCATCCGCTGGCTTGCCAGGGCATCATCGCAGCAAGCAAGCGGAGTGATGTCCAAGTGTATTCCATCTGTACGGGTTGATTGAGTACAGCCCCCCCTTACACAAGTGGGGTTTCTCTGGACACCCCAGTTCCTCCCGCATGTATCCTGTATGAACACTCATTGATGGTGTTGCCCAAATATTAAAATACATTCTGCATGTATGTATGTTGAAGTTCTTTCGCACCGTACGTAGCCAACCGTGCTAATATTAGCTCCGGTTCGTGCCTCTGGGTCGTCTCTGTTCGAGAGCGAGCGAATGCTGCGTGGCGGCGGCGGCGGCGCGTTACAAGTTGAACTCTGCAATAATAATTATTATTAAGAGTGGTGGAATCACAGCACAACATTCCCAGCTCGCACGAGGCGGGCGCTATTTGAAAACTCCTCCTGCGATGATGGACGCAACTCCTGCGGGAGCTGTCGTCGGCTTTTGCCACAGCGAGCGCGAGTCACGGGTTAGCGGGGGGGGGGGGGGCAGATCGCTGTCTGTGCCCGCGTCTCGCCCGCTGCGACGCGCCGTGAGCCAGGGCGTGAGAGTGCGAGGGGGTCCTGCCCGACGAGGTGGGACGATGACCCCCGTGGCGGTGCGTGGTCGTTGAGGCTCCACTCGCACATCGCGCGAAGCCAGGTCAGTCCTCACTCTTCGCTGGGCTTTCTTGTTCACTTTAGGCGCTGTAATTCGTTATACTTTTTTTATGTAATTTACTGCTAACCAGTGTAAATGGAAGCAATTTATGAACAGCTTTAACATACTGAGAGATTATTTTGTAATATTTCTTGCTAATGCGCTTAAAAAACAGCTATAACATTAAGATTAATACGGCCTTTATGTTTAAGCAGGAGACTAAATCAGATGCAAATTAATGCACCACAAATTTCAATGAAAATCTGCACGGCTGAGGTTTGCCATTGACCAACAATGATGAGTGGTGCAGGTGTTTCAGCTTAGCTGGCTTCTTAATATCAATACACATTTGTTGTAGTGATGCTAGCCAACTTTAAAACTCATCTCTTGAGAACAGTTGCTCGTGATTAGTTCGTTGTCCTTCCCTCCCTCACCTCGATCAGCACGATTGGGTACGTACGGTGCTAAAGAAGTTCAACATACACAGTACAACTCGGGTTGAGGGCGTGTTTCCGCATTCGATCTGCCTGGCCTTCTGTAACATTTGGTTACGATAACTCTCGCAAAGATGATCCAGTCTTCGAAAAATTTTCCAATTGAAACATATATTCGAATATAATAGGAAACGTTTTGGGCAATGGTCCTTCTTGATAGTACATCAATGGTACTCTGAAGAAGGGCCATTGCTAAAACGTTTGCTATGATACACCTTTACTTTGCTGTGAATTACGCTTGTGCACCACTTGCCATATCAGCAGCAGCATCACCGAATAATTAGTTCAACGTTTGAAAACAATTTTAGTCACGAAATTTTGTTGCTATGAGAGACTTAGCTGACAGATATAAAAATCAGTCGAATAGATCAAAGCCTGATCCAACATCTTGGTGCTGAAAATTGCATTGCTGAATCCATGCCTATGCAGAATCCAAGCGTATGCTTGTTTCAGTTGTGAAATAAAATCTGTCAAAGAGGCTACCATGGTGTGCAAAATAAATAATTTATGGACACATTTATTTATAATAGTTATTATGGGGCTATTTTATTTATTTATTTTGAAATGGCCAGAAAAGCTTCTTAAATATTCTTCACAATGTTCATGCCTGTAAACAACAGCATGCCAAGGGGGTGCGCTGAGTGGCGCTTTGTGTCCTTGCGGCCACGCGCCGCGGCTGCACGCTGGTGAAGAGATTTGAATCTAAAGAAGGAACAACAACGAACACCAAGGCAAGGGAGACGTGAGAAAGGGGCTCTAAGGCGATAGATAAAAGGAATCACGGGATTTGGACCGACAACAGGATTACTGAGGCAGCAGTGCTGAGGCTCTGAGTTCGTGCCCTACGGCCAGAATATTCCTCTCCACCTCAAGGGTGACCCACCGGGCAGGTGGGCGCCACGGTGGCTATGAGATGTTAACAACCTCGCCCGCTATACAGGAGGTCGTGAGTTCGATCCCGACCCTGACGCCTGCTGCTGTATATTTCGAGTTTGCACGTTCACTCTCCCCGGGGTCGTGTGGATTTGTCTCCGGTTATTCCCTTCACGTTTAGAATCACGCGTTACCCACGGACACCAATCCCACCACCCCCTCCCCCTGCCCACGGCAGCACCCCTGAGATTTTTGCAGCCCAGGGAGAAGAGTGCCCCAGTGGATTGTTAGTGGAGATGTAGACAGAAAGGGGGAGGTTGTCCTGTAGGAGGGATTGTGAGTGGGGATTTGTACGGAGAGAGGGTGTCTCACGAGAGGGATTGTGAGTGGAGGTCTCTGACCGTGCTCTGTGGTGTCGGCCTCGCCGATGCTGCCATCGGGAGTGCTCCGTTGCAAGCTGCGGGGCCCTCCTCCTCCTGCTCCCGCCGCGGCCGCCTCCAGCGCGTCGCCGGCCCCCCCGTCCTGGGCCCTGGGGGTGGGCGAGCGCCTCTCGCCCGCCGCCTTCTCCTGGAGGGACACGCGAGGGCCACGGCGAGGCTGCGTCACGCGGAACGTCTGAGGCACACCGCGTCGACCGCTGCGCGTGACGTGGTAATGATGACGACGATATAAACCTGTAGCGCACAGCATTCCCTCGCTTCCCTAGAGAGAGAGAGAGGACGACTCAGAGAGAGAGAGGACGACTCAGAGAGAGAAAGAGGACGACTCATAGAGAGAGAGAGGACGACTCAGAGAGAGAGAGAGGACGACTCAGAGAGAGAGGACGACTCAGAGAGAGAGAGAGAGAGGACGACTCAGAGAGAGAGAGAGGACGACTCAGAGAGAGAGAGGACGACTCAGAGAGAGAGAGAGGACGACTCAGAGAGAGAGGACGACTCAGAGAGAGAGAGGACGACTCAGAGAGAGAGAGGACGACTGAGAGGCGCCAGGAGGAGGAGCCGCAGACGAGTGGGAAGGCAGCAGCTGCCACGTGGTGAGGAACCAGCACTACCAGTAATTGGCCAAGCTCTGCGGTCCTCGATATATAAAATATTTTCAGCCAATTAAATAGTGGTTATACGCGTGGGAAGAAACCGGAGCAGCCGGAGAAAACCCACAGTTGAAAGGGGGCAGTACTCAACCTCAAGCAAAAGGGACGTATCTTAGTCCACATTTGCTGTAGCAACTACTGGCAGAGCTAGGGTATGGCTCCTCGACCCCCCATGGGAAGGGAATTTCACGGCATCTTTGTGTGATGCACCAACCCTCTCTGCGGCTTCCACAGCGCTGGGTTACAGGCCGCCCCGTTAAGTCGACCATTTGATTATTCTTATTATTTTTTCTTCATCAAATCTGTAAGCAATGATAAAAAAAAACAAATACATGGGAACGGAATCATTTTAGCCACTTTTACCTCACTCGCAAGACCACACGGCCACGTGGGCGATGGGCAGAACTAGAAGCTGACCGGGCAGAGTGAGAATCGTCGCTCTGGGTCGCAATCGGAATCAGGGGATACGGAATCAGAATCTTTCTTTCGGCTGCAGGAATCGGATGAGCTTCGAAGTTCTCTTTCACAGATGTCCAGTCGGATGTCTGGATCCGCACAAGAGATCAGCCCCAATGTCACAGAAGCATCACTGGACATGCGACCTGTGCCCATAATCCTCCACTTTGTTTATACAAAAAAGGTTTTGTTTAGTCAGAATTTCTATCATCTAAAGGGAAAGTTTAGCTTGTGGGCCACACCCGGAGCAGCCGGAGATAAGAGAGATGGCGTTCAAGAACTGCACCTTAACTGCGACTGTGTCCCCTCTCCTGGAGATTGGTCAGTTCTACCACTGATGTAAAACATTGGCTGGTTCGAAATTTGAATCGTGCCCCAGACAGTATGATATTCATCAATAATTTTACGTTTCATTATTCTTAAATATATATTTCTTATACATTTTGCTAAATTGTGCATTATGAAATGTATGTAATTGTTTGTTGTTATAGCATTGCGTCAAGGAATATCTCCAGTCTGTGCTCTCTGGTTGCCTGGGTGACATGTGGGCCCAATCTGGCCCAATCCTCGGCCAGCCTGGCTCAGCTACTCAATAAACACAACGGAAGTGAGGAGTGGGTTGGGAAAACAATGGCCATGATTGAGGCCCCGCAAAATATTACTGCTTTTTGCCTTCTGGTTTAATGAGAGTGTCTGAAAAGATACTGTTGCGTTTGGACACTTTATACAGCCGTATTCTGAACATAACAGAATGGAGCATGACACTTAACATGCATTTAAATTCGTATAACAAAAAATAATGCCCTTAAGTCTACGGAGAATCCAGAATGAAGCCAGTCTCTGTGCCATTAAGCAAACGAATATGAAACACGAAACCTGGAAAAAACCACAGAAGAATTCTAAGATATTTTATATTTCAAAAAAACTTGACTGGGGATCGTGAATGAATGGTGAGGAGGTTCAGATGATGTATTCCTCCTTCGTTGTAGTCAGCAAAATAATGTCTGTAAATTTTCGGCAACACGAACACGTCCAAAATTTTGAATTGTAACCGGATTTAATTGCAATTATTGCAATAGCGGATACCCTTTGCAACAGCTCCACATGTGCTGTTCATTAATCTGCCCCGCCGCTAATAACGCACATTCTACCTGTGTTCTTTACATTTACATTCACATGTTCCAAACCAAACCGTTTAAACGCGAACGTAACAATTACAAGGCCACATTTGTACTGAATGATTAATACGCACATTTGTTAACACGAAACGTAACATATCTGAATAATAAAAAAACCATACGAATTGAACACACTTTGTTTTTGGTGAATAAAACACGCTTTGCGAGCCCAATGTTCGCGCCTCCGGTAGGCGGTTGCTTCCAGTGACTCGGGAAGGCGCTCGCTTCGCGTTCCCCCGAATCAAATCTCTCGTCGCTTCCGTCGTTTACAAGAACATTTCTGCAGCGACATTAACGGCCTTCGTTATGCACCGTGGCACCAGCCTCTCGGTGATTTTGGAAGAGCCTTTGCAATTACTGGGGGTGTCTTTCTTCCTCCCACCTTGTTCTTGTTATTTATATAAAAAAAAACATGAAATGCCGTACATCCCTAATGGTGTGAATTTCTATTCACCTGAATCTTATACTGGACATTACAATTGTTATGTTTAGCGTTTGTGTCTTTTTATAATTTTATAAACCTGGGATACTGGATTGAAATATTTATTAAAAATTCCAATCTCAGATGAACAATTGTAGACAAAACTCCACGATTCTAATCATTTGTATGTGTCTCATATAATAACTTACGACTCAAATTATTTGGTGATGCTGCGTTGGTAGTGGTGCAAAAGTTAAAACAATTGACAAAAAACCTTAACAAGTTCGTTAATAACACTGTGCTGCTGTAATATTAATAATATCGAACAACAAGTGACATTTCCAGAAATGGCCCTTCTTCATAGCACACTCGCAGTAATTAATGGGCGACAGACTCATGCCCTTCACTTGTTGCTCGTGACCTTAACCCCACAAGTTCTGCTTGTGCAGGCGAGAGGGCATCACCAGGCTTGCGCGTGCCCTCCACCCTGCCGACGACCTGCGGCTTTCCCAGTCTCGGGAGACGCACACCAGCAGCCGGTAAGAGGCCAAGATCACCGGCTGTCTAGAACGTCTTCAGCTTGAAAGAGAACAACACTCTGGAGGCACACAAAGTAAGCGTTGCCCTTTTGGCACGGCCATAGAATGTCTGCCTGCGTGCGGGCGAGCGAGCTGCTGTGCGGTAGTGCAATTGAGCACAGGGCTGTAAGGTGCAAAACTTGTGGGAAAAAAACAATTAGCAAAGTTGATTGCGTAACATTTATTTCTCAAAACGCCTTTTCAAACAGCATGGGCAAAGGTGCCCTTGTGCTCCGCCAACCTCAGTAATTGCCGTGCATGTGAATCCGGGCACAGCGGGCCACACAATCGCCTGATTCCGATTCCGACCCCAGAGCGTAAGGGAAGAGCTCTTTTCCTGTAACAACTGGAAGAGCACCAGCATTGGTTCAAGTGAGCCTGCCTGCTTGATGAGACACCGCGTGTCGAAACCGGTACAGAGTTTGCTTGTCTTGAAACAATGCCACTGAAATGATGCAATCTCAGAAGGCTGTGTGGTTGTGTGGCTGATGTGTTGTGAGAGAAGTACTTTTATTTTTTCTGTGGAGAGATGGATGTGTTAGGGAGACTCTTTGTCTGCTCATTTATTTTGTGATTCCGGGCTCATCTGACTGTGCAACCATGATATTAAGACACTTTATAAATCAATGTGGCATTGTAGGGTGTTGCATTGCATGCAGTAAGCCAAGTAAGAACCATTCTGAAAGACAAAGATCCCCCCTTTACAAACTTAACCTGTCTATTGGGGTAGGACTGCTCGCGAGCACAATGAAGACCGGCACTGCGCATGAGCAGGTGGGTGGCCAACACGACGTCCGACCACCTTTGTCTCCCCGGTGCTGATGTTTACACACTGCGCCAGGTAATTATTTACGGCCGAGTAGACCTAGAGTAGGCCTTTGACCGGTTTGACGCGCTCATGGAGTGAGTCCAGCAGCTGCCACTCGAAGCTCCATCTCTGCTTGACTCATTTGCAAGAGGATCCTGCCAAGTTTGCAGTCAGGGGCGATGTTGTTGCTGCTGCTGAACATAATCCCAATTGAGTAACTTTCAGGCCAATTCTTTGAGCATTGGCACATGTTTGGCCAAAGCCAGTTGCGTTGTAATATTGTTCACCTTTTAGGAGGAAACCGGAGATCTCAGAGGAGACCCATGCAGAGTTAGGGGAGAACACACAAACCTCACACCCAAGTGGGGAATCAGGCCCAGCCTCTTCCTGCGACGAGACACACGTGTTGCCACTGCACTGATACCCTACCTTGCACTGTATCTCTCCCATTTGCTGTTTTGTTCACCTTCCCATGTTATCTAGACAGTTAATAACAATGCTCATTTCCACTGCAACGAAAACCACACATTAGACGCTTCCGTAATTGTAGCAGCCACCGTCGCTTAGCCTGCAAGCGTGGCAGCTTGAGCGCCTCCTGTTTGAGGGCAGCAAGAACAGTCGTTCGACGGTTGCACGGCGGACCCATAACCCTCGGCGATAAGCGTCAGAGACAAAAAAACAATTTAACGGAAGATTGCTCAAAAAGTGTGTGAAGTTCACACCCTAGAGCACGTGGTTACGTCTGTGAGTACGCGTTGAGCACGTGGTTACGTCTGTGAGTAGCGTTGGCGGTGGCGTGGCACCATCGGTGGCGTGTTCGACGCTTGTTGCACAGGTTCGCGGTTCGAATGAAGCGGCCGCCCTGGTTATGAGTGAGGTGCATAATAACGACTTTAATGATAACTCCACACGCAGCCTGCTTCACACTTCACGCACGGCGGGCGTTAAAGATCCCCCGAGATATTTCGCAAGAGCCGGGTCATTGTGTGCTGGCATCGTAGTCCACGTTTGAAAAATTACCCGCAAATTATTCAAT